TTTCTAATTATTTCGCAACCGTTTATTATTTTCTGTCGTAGATCATTGATATCTGTTATAGGTGTTTCATACACTAAAGACTTTAAGGGCCCCCGAAAAAAGAAGTCCATCGGATTAAGGTCTGGTGAACGAGGCTAGAGGTCTGCCCCGACTATGTTCAAATGCCTCATTTAAATACCTTCGTACAACCAGCGTTAAGTGGGGTGGAGAGCCATATTGCATTAACCACATGTTTTGTCTCCACTGCAAGGGTAAAGTCTGTTATTAGATATAAGAAAGTGACTAACTGATGCGAATTAGGGAAAGACCCGGGCAAGCTGTAAGAATGAAATATGGCCGGACAGGTCCGTACTTTGTTTAGAATTTAAGTATTTGCGGTTTTGTTAGGAAAGATACTAAACAATATTTATTTATTTATGTATGTATTTATGTTTAAATCTAAAATAAAATTACAAATCACTTTTATTACCTACTTAAATTACTTAAAATTATTCACATAATATATCAGTTTCACTATCGCTATCATCGCCTGTTCTAATTATTATTTGTTCTATATTATTTGCAATATAGATATACGATTGTTCTGCTTTTTCTATATGTTTAACAGAATTTGCCCAACTTTGTGGAAGGATGTTAAAAACTTCGGTTTCTATAAGTTTGAGGCCATTGGAGTTAACACGGGGGAAAAAACATTGTTACGACGAATGGCAGATTTCAGTTGGTGCCAAACATGTTCAATGGGATTAAATATACAGTGGTAAGGCGGAAGCCTTAAAACTGTATGCCCTAGATTTTTTGCATAATTATCACAGACGTATTTCTTTTGTAGGTTCAAGCTTTATAGAACCTCAATTAATTGCTTTTTGGTATAATTTTCGTGAAAAAAATGTCGTTATTATACATGTAGTTTTGGATTGTTGCTTTTGTGTGACATGAGGAAGGGGTTTTAGTCAACTGTCTACTGTGATAACTTGCATTGTCCATTACAATGAGGCTATTAAGAGGAATGTTTGGAACTAGTTTGTTTTGAAACCAAGTTTCAAATAAATCAGCGGTGGTGTCTTCATGGTAATCCAAAGAAGAGTCATTAATATTTTTCGGCGACAGAGAAAGTCCATTTGAAATCAACCATCTTTAGAGCCAGTATGCAAAATAGTTATTCTTTTACCTCTTTTTGATGACGCGTTTGTTTTACACTTATCAGTTGAGTCAACCCCCTTTTCCGGGGTATCATAAGTGTCGAACCAGGTTTCATCCAAGTAAATAATTGGCCTTTGTTGTTCTCTGTAAATCCTAATTTTTTCTAGATATTCTAGTCGCCATTTGCGAATTCTAAAAGATTCCATTAAAACTTGCCTTTTGTCAATTTTTCTAAATCTTTTTACACATTTAACACTGGTTTCATCTTTTTCAAGCCTCCTAATTAATATATCTAATTTAGGCATCTCCAGAGATACACTACACTCGCACATATTTTGCATAATTCGCACACGATTCGACACACGCTGTATTACATACGAAATAAGAATGATTACTAATAAACTTAAACTAAGTAGTATACCAAACCAAAGAATATTAAACACAGGTAGGTATAAAATTATTTTCTATTACGGAGCACAATTTTACCTGATTTAAATTCCGAAACTTTAGGTAATAATCTTGTTGTATTGTATGTTAATGACCACCCTCGGATAATCCCATTCAAAAGCAATTGGTTACTTTCTTATATTTATGAACAGCAAATTGCAAATACATTAATCGGTCCGTTAAAGAAATGAGGTCCTATTAGATTATCTCCTATAATCCCTTCCCATACATTTAAAGAGAACCGGCGCCTTTAATTTTTGCACGTGGGTTCGCATATTTGGAAAATTTACAATGCCATCACGATTGAATGAGCCTCGTAAGTGAACAAAATGGCATTTAAGAATCGTGGGTCATTTTGAAAATTTCCTAAAATTACTCTGAATTGCTCATCACCCTCATGCAGTGCTTGAACCCTTTGAACATGAAAGAGCCGAAAATCATTTTCATACAAAACTTCCCAAACTGAGCAGCAAGTTTTCTGGTGCGGATTAGCCTCCACATTTTCAGGTGTTCTTTGTTCTCTTGCAGCACTTCTTTTATACCCATTTATTCATATTATCAGTCTTATGTCTATGTTGATGGATCTCTTAGTAGATGGAACGTTTCTATTGGGATAAATATTGATATAAAGCTGTCGTGCTTGATCTGCATTTCCATTTGGTTTTCCTTAGCAAAAATACATATCGCCATATTCAGTATTTGAACATTCCTGATGGGCTATCACAGCAGCAGTTGGATAATAAGCTCTTTTAATAGAAACTAATTTTTAACGTATTTGACAATGACATTTTCAAATTTCCTTCCTGTTAGGTAAATACACATTCGAGCCGAGAATAAAAAATCGATTTGTGGCTAAACGATAACACTTATCGACTGAATGCAAGAGTAACAATTCTTGAGGATTTGTGATTCTAATTAAGGCAATCTGTTTTATTTTGCAATATCAGTCTAAATAAATAACATACAGGAAAATAAAAAAAAATGTTCTAGGTAAAGCGGCCTCTAGCGACAGATTTCTGAAACACTTTTATATTGTAACGATGACTTTTACTGAATCAGAATTGTGTGTGAAATATCAGCTTATTCTGTTGAGAATTAAAATAAAATTTAAAAAAAGAATTTTGAACAGGCTATAAATCGAAAAATGTTAGGATTTCGAATATTTGTTACATGACTTAGTACCATTATTTTACCACGTTGAATCTAAGATATAAAAATCCTGATTTATTTCAAAGTGACCTTCTCCCCCTTTCTGTAACTGTGATATATTTTTTTTATTCGTTAAGTAGCGTTAATATAAACTCTGTATAACGGAAAACTCTGTATTACAAACAAAATTTGTTGTACCATTAGGTCTCCATACGAAGCTATGTATTAATCCACTCTGTATAACGAATTTCTCATCTCTATACCGAAAGAAAAAAGGGCACATCAGGTAACAAAGTAAGGAATGTAGGCCGATTTATATTCCTCATCCTAATAATCTAATTACCGAGAACCTAATAATATCATAATCAGTTCTAATTTGACGGGAAATAGAACGGGGAAAAAGGGAATTGATGTGGGACGTCGATACGGTCTTACACCATCGACTGTATCCACAATTTGGAAGTGCAAAGAAAAAATCATTCAGGTTGAAGCGGCAGGCAGTTGTAGTAAAAAACTAAGAAAGCCAAAATTGGAAGATTTGAATCGGGCAATGTTGCAGTGGTTCCAACAGCAACGTCTTAAAAACCACTCTCTGGAACTATCGTAAAACTAAAAAAGTTTGCTGAACAGCTTGGCATTATCGATTTCAAGACTTCCGAAGGATGGTTGGGGAAGTTCAAACAGAGCCATGGTATAAATTATGGATAGATAAGTGGCGAAGCCCGTGATGTCAACAGAAACGTCACTAGCGATTGGCTGGAGAAGACGTGGTCAAAACCAGCAGAAAGGTACCCTGCTGACGACATTTTTAATGCTGACGAAATTGGTATTTTTTACAAAATTACGCCAGATAAAACTCTTAAATTTCTAAGCGAAAAGTGTGTGGGTGGAAAACTTTCTAAAGAACGTATAACAGTGTTAGTAGCTGCCAATATTAGTGGGAGAGAAAAAAGAAAGCTATTAAGCCATAAGCGTTATTGGAAAATCAACTAACTCATGATGTTTTAAGAACATCAAGCACTTGCCGATCACTTACAAGGCAAACAAGTGTGCATGGATGACAACCCAAATTTTTAAAGAGGAGATACAGAAATGGGATGCAGAATTAAAGGGGAGAAAAATATTCCTACTCTTAGATAACTGCCCTGCACATCTAAACTCTATGGAATATTGAATTGGTGTTTCTTCCAGCCAAAACAACAAGTGTATTACAGCCTATGGACCAGAGCGTAATAAAAAGTCTTAAGAGTCGATACAGGAAAACATTTTAATGGAAATGATCGAGTCCGAAGACAAATTTTCCATTAATATGCTAGATGCAGTCAACGTTATTAGTAAAGCTTGGAAAGAGATGACAGCAGAAACAATTCAACACTCCTATCGTAATGCAGGACTTATTACCGAGACAGAATGCGAACAGGACTTGGAAGATGATCAGCCACTAAGCGATTTTATGGTGATAGATCAAGATTTGCCTACAACAGTAGACTTGACAGAGGAAGCCATATTACAACAAGAAAGAAAGGGTGAGGAAGAGCACCAAGGGGAAGAAGAAGTTGAAGTTGATCTGGGACCACCACCAACCATTCAACAAGCCCTATATTCAGTTAAGGTGCTAGAGAAATTTTTTATGTATCAAAAAAAAAAAAAAATAGAAGCCAAAGTATTATATGCGTATTGGCATACTAAAAAAAATTCAAAAGAGAATGACCGATTATTTGAAGCATTAAATGTAGTTCTTAAATATTTATATAAAATGTTATTAAGTAGATGTTAAAATATGCGTTTTTTGTTATTTTTCAAGTGCCTATAGCGAAAAAAAAACAGTCCCTTCAATTTCATTATATAGAGTTTCGACTGTATATAAATTATGTAAAAAGAGAACTTTGATTAGCTGATTGATTATTGCACATTTTGTTGAATTGGTATTTGTGTACTTTGGCCAATAAGTAGACAAGAACTTGTCTTGCGCAAGAATCTCGATCCACCGCCGTATATTTATCATACTTTTACAAGTTCAACTATATGCAATCGTGTTTTTTTATTTGATGTTGTACAATAAATGCTAAAAGTTATTATTGTTAAATTAGTATGCCAAGAAAAAATATGTTTTTGAATTAATAATTGGGTAAGCTGTATCTCTAAAACAAATCAAGTTACCAAATGTGTTTATGGGAAAACAGTCTCGGGTTTACCTGAAAACTTGATTTTAGACGATTGACTGTTTTTTTGGATGCTTAATAACCTTAACCTTAACAACTTACCTGGAAATAATATTGGAAGTAAATAATCAACGATCTCAAGAAACAATCTACAGCGACAGTGTGAAAGTAAGATATAAATTTAAATGTCAGATCTTCAACTTTTGTTGTAAATATCGCAACATCCTTCACATCTTGGAGGGTAACTACTGAGGGTTCTTCTGCGTTCACTCTTCTCTGATAGAGTTTGCGGAATTTCGCCTAAGAAAAATTATTTGTTGCAAATAATTTCTATTTAAAATTGGGATGACCAACTTGTGCGTAAATGTCTACTGTTTCCATTGTCTGCATCTCAAAATCGTTTTGCTTTTTTCCCGAGTATGATACTGCCGCGGCAGAACATCTGCTGCTTTTCGATGGCAATCGGTGAGCGAGGTCTTTCCTAAATAAAAAAAAAACACAATCAAAACTTTTCTACAGTACCCCAGAACTTACGATATGAAGACGATTCCATTTGAGTAATCGTCCCAGACCCAAACACCGTTTTTGTAAAGAGTTTTTGAATCAGCCATTCTGACACACGTTTGACGTGCAATATGATTCGATCCGGTCGTGTATGAGCCGGACAGTCTGTAATATGCTGCATTTAAAAATTCAATGAAACTGAAACTGAACGGAAAATAGAAGAACAGCTATTATTATACAGGGTGTCCAAAGAGTGTGTCAAAATAATATATGCCATTTTATTATTTGTTTTAGACAAAAATGTTAAATACAAAAGTTAGAGATGATACTAAAATTATTTTCAAATGCATAAGGCGATTCATAAATATGTGGCAAACCAAAGTTATGTTTTTTTAAATGATGTATATTATTGCATCACCCAATGTAGGATTGTTATCGTCTATACCGATTGTTTTCGAATTTACGGCCATCTTTTCGTCAAAAATGTTTCACACTATATTTTTGACGCCATTTCCGACATATGCAATTTTGTTATGCCAACAATTTTATAAAATATTTATCCTACACTTGTCCTGAAGTTAGTTAGAAACGTTTATACATATAAAATGGTCAGTGTATATTATATTTCCATTCACTCACGTTCCTTATACCTAAATTTAGTATGTTTTTAAGATTTTTTAATAAGAAAAATAAAGATAAATAGATTTATAATTTTGCGAAAAAATGTTTCCTTTCTTACCATTAATTTAGACGTTCCGCTTTTCTTAAACCTCAAAATATTACTGAACTATAAATAATGTTTCCAGATTGCCACTTTTAGTGTAAATGTAGGTTGGCAATGTAAATCTAAGTATAATAGAAAATACGTTGTAGGGCTACATTTTTTTTAAAAAGTTTACTTAGACTTTTTAGAGCAAAGGTTGTAAAAATGTTAAGAACTATTCCGAACGAAGTGTGGCAGAGAATGTGGTTCTTCACGATGCAGCTTCCGCACACCATACCCATCAAGTTACGAACTACTTAATTTTAATTTATTTTCTTTCAAAGTGTTAGTCATGAAATGCTAGCGAATACTGCCCAATGGTATAAAAACCGTACTGGAGCGTGTACCGAAGTCGGTGGTTCGAGTAATAAATAAGAACTAAAAGTTCAGATTTTCACGAAATTATATATTTTCCCATGACAATTGTTTCGACAACACCATGTCTTTATCAAATGTAATATTTATAAACTGTCTGCTACTATATATTACAGAAAAATGATAATAAAACCTTAATTAATGTTGTTGTGAAAATTTAAATTTTATATTGGAGAGGTATTTAAATCGAATTGATCGTTAAGCAATACATTTGAATATATCATTTTCTTCTTCTCCATGGCTTCCAATAAATTTAAATTTCTAATTTTTGTGGCTGTATGTAAAATATCAAAATTGTCTTAAAAAATGTGTTTTTCTGTGTTTAAGTATGTAGCATAATAAAAATCTAGACTATTGTTTTTAAACGCTCTTTTATGTTCGTTAATGTGTTTCTTGAAGGATCTACCTGTTTTTCCAATATAAATTTTAGGACAAGATCCGCATTTCAATCTGTAGGCACCTGATTTTTGAGATTTTGGACGCTTTGTTTTATTGTGTTATATTATTCCTATTGTGTTGTTAGTTCTAAAACCTATTTCTGAATCACATTTTGACAAATGTTTTGAAACTTTTTCACTGGGTTGTTCTATATATGTCATTGTTTTAAATTGTTCGTGTTCTGTATTAGATTTCAGATAAATAGTGTTTACTGTTGTCTGAATTTGTTTTTTATTTATAATTTTATCAATAATGGACGGATTGTAGCCAAAGTTTAGTGCATTTTGTTTTCTTACAAAAACGCAATACTAATTAGATCTTTCCATTTACCATAAACTTTCACACACGGACACCGTCATACATAAAAGCTCAAATCACATCACCCTTATACGCACAAAATGGCTGCATTGCACTCTTCTATACACTGACTTCTTAATACGCCACTCGCAACAGAAAACTACAACAAAAAACTTAATATGATTAAACGAATTGCACTAAAGAACGGCTACAATCCATCCATTATCGATAAAATTATAAATAAAAAACAAATCCAGACAACAGTAAACTCTATTTATCCGAAACCTAATACAGAACACGAACAATTTAAAACAATTACATACATACGATAACCCAGTGAAAAAGTTTCAAAACATTTGTCAACATGTGGTTTAAAAATAGTTTTCAGAACTAACAACACAATAGGAAAATTTTTAAAAAACGATAAAACGAAGTGTCCAAAATCTCAAAAATCGGATGTCTACAGGTTGAAATGCGGATCATGTCCTAAAATTTATATTGGACAAACAGGTAGATCATTCAAGAAGCGCATTACCGAACATAAAAGAGCGTTTAAAAACAATAGTCTAGATTCTAATTATGTTACACACATGAACACAGAAAAACACATTTTTGACGACAATTTTGATACTTTACATACAGCCACAAAACGTAGAAAATTAAATTTATTGGAAGCCATGGAGATTAACAAAATGAGACATTGAAATGCCTCTTCATTATTAAACTTAAATTATCACAACAACAAACAATTAAGGTTTTATCGCCATTTTTCGGTATATATAGTAGCAGGTAGTGGCATTGTGCATTTTTAAAATCATCGCTAGTGCAAAATACTGTATAAATTGTTTTCTTAAAAGAGCGGTTGCATAACTATAATGACAAATATAATTCAGAAGATGCTTCAGAATTCTCATTACTCTGTATAAATCATACCAACATACCACATTTGTCATCATTTTTGTAAGCTGCCATTACTAAAAGAAATTGAATGCTTGTCAAACAAATAAAAATTGCGAATAGAACGGAAACAAATTGCTCTAAGTCTACTCAAATATCGCTGAGAAATAAATGATAACCTACTAATAAATAATTCAATTAATTTTCGAAAATTGTCATTTATTTCCTTGTTTCTAAGGAAAAGTGCACACTATTACATATTTTCGAAAAGGTAGAAAATAAATAAATAATCTATAAATATACAGGTGTTCCGATTTAAAAAACAAGTAGGCTTCGATAACTTTGTAACCTGGGCCTGTAAAAAAGTTATATAAGAGAGAGTTTTCACAATTTCGATAGTTGAGATGCGAGGGGTTTTTGAAAAGGCAATGTTTTCAATTTAGCTTTTAAAAACTGAAAGGGCTATGAACATTTTGATAGCGGAAAAAGTAGTGAATTGTCGCGAAAAACGCAATTTCTGTTACAGTGAAAATAGTGTTTTATGAGATTTAACCAACATTTTACTGAAGAAAATATGGTTGAATAGTTATAGTTGCCTCGTAAATCTATTAGACAATAAAAATCAATATGAATATTATATTACGGTGAAATTTTTTGGTTGCAGTTCGCGGAGGGAAACACGGACCTTCGAACATAACTCAAAATAAAAAGAGTTGCAAAAGCAAGCGCGTTAGAACGATTTTTACCCCGGAACAACTAGAACGATTAGAGGCGGAATTCGAACGACAACAATATATGGTTGGTCCTGAAAGACTTTACTTGGCGCACACGCTGCAACTAACGGAAGCCCAGGTGAGTTTCACTAATTTGTCTACCCGAAAACTGCACTCGATAATTGCAGATTTACGCTCTAGCACATAAAAATCTATAGCGCTGCCCGCATATTAAATCTTTCGCTGGTATTGTGTGCAATCATTGGAATGATTATACTAACATGGTTAGGTAACGATATGTTCTGTACTGTTCCCTATCGATGCATAAAAATTAACGAACCAATGTTAGTTTTGCGTGGCAAAAAGCAAGAAACTCTACGATTTAATGACGACTAATTCAAAAAAATTGGATAATGTTGAATTCTCAATCAAAGCGCGCTATTTGATCCAACTATATTTATACCAACTTTTAGAAAAAAAAATACCATAGTAAAGACGAGCCGTTTAAAAAATGTAGTCGTACTTTGTTGATCAATTTAGGAGCTGTATGGGCAAAAGATCTTTAAAATAATTCCATGTTATGTCAAAATAAAGCAACTGATTTTTCCTTGTATTAGTACTATTTACGTCCCTAAAAGATGAAAGTTTTTTTGGAGAATTTAGACGACTTTTAACGTAACTTATAAATGAACTAGTAACCTGTTGCATTGGTAGCAAAATATGGTATACGTTAATAATAAAAAAACAGTTAAGTGTAAATTTAGACAGACTAGATTAACAAAAGTCCAATGGATTCCATCGATGTCGATGTTAGCGCAGAAAGAAAGTTTTCCATTTTTAAAGTTCATGATTGTATCCGATTTTAAACGAAACCTCGTCCACCTACTTAGTACTATTTAATTGCTACATTGCAATGTCACAAGTATTTCAAAAATATAGGTCATACTCTCTTCGCTCTAGAATTTTTAATCGTCGTTATTTTACTATTCCCTCTATACTTCCAATAGGCTACCGAATTTGGGAACTGCTGTGTTTTATATTTAGGAAATAACAAGGATTTAGACTGGGTGTAAAATTTATTATTTAGTCGAGGTTTCATTAAATCTATTGATTTCTTCGGGAGTATAAAAGAGAGCTCAGGTAAAGTCTGTTCATAGATATAAGAAAGTGAAACTGATACGAATTAAGGAAAGAACCGGGCAAGCTCTAAGAATGAAATATGGCTGAACAGGTCCGTACTTTGCCTAGAATTTAATTATTTGGAATTTTGTTAGGAAAGATACTAAACAATATTTATTTATTTATGTATGTATTTATGTTTAAATCTAAAATAAAATTACCAATTATTTTTATTACCTACTTAAATTACTTAAAATTATTCACATAATATATCAGTATCACTATCGCTATGATCGCCTGTTCTAATTATTATTTGTTCTATATAATTTGCAATATGGATATACGATTGTTCTGTTTTTTTATATGTTTAACAGAATTTGCCCAACTTTGTTTCTATAAGTTTGAGGACATTGGAGTTAACACGGGGAAAAACAATGTTACGACGAATGACAGATTTCAGTTGGTGCCAAACATGTTCAATGGCATTAAATATACGGTGGTAAGG